GGGGGTCTGGGGCGCCTCCCTTGCTCCTGTCATGCGTGGGGACCCGCGGCGCGTGTGGGGAGCGGGTCAGAGCCAGTGTCTGTGCCCGCGGGTGGGTTTGGACCCTGGTCCCGTGGGGCCTGTGGCTGTGGGAGGCCGGGGCTGGTGTGTCCATCTGTGCCCAGAGCATGCTGCCGCCGCAGGTGGGGGCTGTCCTGTGGCCGTGGGAGTGGGCTCCAGCACAGCGTGGTGGCTGCTGGGCCTATAGGTGCTTGCATGACCCATCTTGACCCCAAAATACCCTCGCAGCAGGAGGGGAGGTATCAGCCCAGCAACCGTGGCTGGCACCCTCGGAGCAGTGCCCATGTCCTGCTGAGGGACGTGGGTCCTCACAGAGCTTGCATATCCCTGAAGTCTGTGGGATATGGTCTTGCACATGTAGTTAGTGTCAGCCTAATTAGGGCTCTTTATTCCAAATATTTGGTTAAATCCAAGCGATGTAATCAGCTCAAGGTAAAATCTACTAGGTTGTGATAAATCTCTCCTGAATGTAAAACCTGACAGGGAAATCTTCATCTGGGCTGTTCCCCGCGTGGGTATCCGCTGCTGGCACAGAGCAGCTGGCGTGCTCGAGTGGTGTGCTGCTGCACGGAGGAGAGATGGACAGCCTGGTGTTTTGGGAGTTGGCTGCTCTGAGCACAAAGTGATTGAACTTCTAAATTGCCTCGTGCAATAATGAAAGATGACTAAATTGTTGAAAAGCACAGCTCTTGCTGATGAAAACTATAGTGGTTGTTCTTGGCCGGCTGTTGCAGGCTTCTGTTCTTGGTCTTGTGTTGTGTTACAGGTCTTGTAATTATGAGGTCTGGCAGTTTAAGGAGCAGAATCTTAAATTCCACTGTGCATCCAGTAAATTTTTCTAATCCTCTAGGGAAATAGGTTCTTGGTTTAGAAATTTCAGGGCAGGGTGTTTAAAGTAACTTAACATTCAAATATAGGTTTTTATTATGACAGTCCTTTTTATGTGACATCAAGGAGGTTTATAAAAATACAATATTCTAGTTGCATTTTCCCTTTCTTAAGAGTTCCATAGGAAAACAAAGTATTTGGGAGATTTGATGTATTCCTTAGATAGGTGTTTGCTGAGTATGGAGTGAAGTAGTAAGTAAGTAGTGAAGAAAAAAATAGTTCTGGAAACTAAATCTGTTATGTTAAAAAAATCTGAGCAGAAGTCATACTCAGCTAGGTAACGGTTTGTTGTTCAGTGCTGTATATGAAGAAGGCATTGGTGCAGCTGTAACCAAAGCTCCATCCACCCGGTTATTGTTTACAGGGTCAGAGTGAATATGATACATACACCTGCTGCATATTTCTTGAGCATCCAGGATGCCCAGTGACTTAGTGGAAGGAAAGCTTTGTTGTGCCAGGGGTGTAGGAATGAGCTCTGTGTATGTGATGCTTTGAAAAGTTGCAGAAGTTCTCTTCAGATGTGGAAACACAAACAGCTTGACCAGTGTTGAAAAAAACCTGTTAAATCAACCCATGTTGTTGTCAAAATGTTTGACATCTACTTGAGATTCTTCTGTCTGGTTTCTGTCATTCATCACTCTTTCCTCGCCCCTAGATGCTCTCGTTAAGATTGATGACTAAAGGAGGGTAATGGGGCCATCTGTCTTGAAGATGGAAAGGCTACTGTCCACTTGAGGCATGGGAGGTCTGAATGAGTCTTGAAAACCACAGCCTGTCAGCTGTTTCTCTGCTGTGAAAATATTTGCAATTGTTGCTAGCCAGGCCTGTTGTTTGGCGTGCTCCAGGGCACGGACATGAAGGCTAGCTCTGCTCCTTCGGAGAGAAGCTGGGAGCTATCTGCATTGCTTTTCTGAGGGCTGCTGGTAGATTTTTGAAAGGCAGTTTTAACACACATAGCATTGTTCCTTTGCATTGTTTTGACACTTTGCATCTTGTTCCATTCCCATGGATTGTTTTGACACTTTGGGTCTTGTTCCACTGTTCTTTTCCTCTGCTGTTTTTCAGGTACAGAAACTGCTCTGTATGTGTCCAGTGGATTTCCATGGGATTTTCCAGTTAGATGAACGTCGCAGAGATGCTGTTATTGCTTTAGGAATCTTTCTAATTGAATCTGACCTTCAGGTATTTTTTTGCCTTTAGGCTAAGTCTATTTTTGAAAGATTTTGTTTTGGATTAATTCCAATTTAGTTGTTCAATAAATGAAAATTTGGTATTTGCTTTTTATAAAAATAAATAGATCAAATATAACAGGTGGATGCATGCAGGAGAGCACAAAGAAACAAGGACAATACTGATGAGTGTGATAGCTGTCATGGCACTGCTATAGGCAAACTGCTGTCATGTTTTTTGGTCATCATAGCTTAAGGAGAGAAAGGAAAGGCTATTCAGGAGGATTTGCTCAAGCCATATGTGTTGTTGGGCGTTCTTCCCCACATGCTTCTGAATGATAGGTGTGTTCCAACATACTCCTGAACATCAGGTTTGTAATAGGTCTTTTCATGCTTGGCACTAGCTGGGATAAAAAGGCAAACAATGCACATAGGCCATGTTGTATGTGAACATCCCTTTTGTATCTCTCAGCCTGTTTATGACAAGCTGGTTCTTTTTCCTTTGAACTCTGGACACGGTATTGTTTCATCCAAAGTCATTAGACCTCACTTTAAGTTTTTTAATAGGTTTACATCAGGCCTGAATTTCCTCCTATTTAGTATGTATTTACTATGATACAGTTTACATCTGTATTATTAACGTTGTTCTTTTTGTGGTTTTTGTAGTATGAAGTTTAAATAAGGTAGCTGTTTTCATGTTTTTTAGCACTTTTATGATGTTTTTAAAGCCAGTGGTTAGTATTAATAAATCCAGCTCTATGAGGAAGGAATGTGCTGTCCTTTGATTGGCAGATTAGGGAGTTGAAGTGTTAACACAAATGTGTTAAGTAACTTGCATAAGGCAGTGGGATGGATCACATGTACTGAATTGGGACTGGCACTAAATTTCTGGATGTCTTAAAATTATTTTGTGACCTTGCTGTAAACTAGTAAATTGTTCAGGGTCAATCACTGTTCTGGAACTCTTTTCTCCCAACTTCTGTGGAGAATGAACTGTTGCCTAGAATGAAAGGATTGGATTTATAGCACTGAATTGTTTTACTTTCATTTGCCTGTGTTGAAATCAATTTTGCAATATTCCAGAAGTAATGTGGAGTAATCATTGGAAGCAAGTTCTGTGTGTGGTTAGTGTAGTCTTTTCATATCTCTCAACTGTCTTGAGATTGTACAGTTCAGCTTTTCTTATCCATTTTAAATATAGTATCTTCCTTTTTAGCACAAAGATAATGTGGTTCCTTACCTCCTCCGACTTTTGAAGGGTCTTCCCAAAGTCCAATGGATAGAAGAAAGCAATGCACGAAAAGGCAGAGGTGATGTTTGGGTTTTTTGATCATTCTCATGGAATGCCAGCCAGGAAATAGAAATAACAAAGGTCATTCAGGACATGATACAAGGGGAGATGATAGGTCTGGCTAGGTTCTTAGATACTGACTCAACAGCTTTTAATATTGATTTTCTTTAGAGGCAAAGAGGAAGTTGAATAGCTCCCAGCTTTCTTGCTTGACTTTCTGATAAATTGCACTTTTCAAATAATTCTACGCTCAATGTATTTTGTTACTAAACTGGAGAAGATTGTGTAGTGGTTAGAGCAGGAGAGTGGAAGCCAAGATCTGTATGCTCTACTTGTAGCTTTGATGCTTAGTTGTTATTTAAACCACTTCATTTCTTGTTCCCTTAATATCTATTAAAACTGATGTAAGAATGTGTTTTCACAAAGGATATTATAAAATGTCATATTTTTTCAACTGCTTGAAAGCCTGAAAGAGTGTTTAATTATTAAAGTTATTCTTTTAACATTTCATGCTGAAATGATGATGGTTAGAGTATACTTCTAAATTTTGAATGTTACACTACACTTTATACTAAGAAATGTATGACATGGGAATCACTTATGTCTTCTTGCATTGTTATTATTTACTCTTTCTATGCTGATTCTCTGTAACAGTGCTTAAGTGGTTTATTTTCTGTCCCTTACTTTACAGGCTTACTTCCAGTGGCAGAAAACTTCAGCTTCTGCTTGGTAACATTGTTATCAGATGTTGCTTACAGGGATGCATCTCTCAGAGAGCAGGTAGAGTTTAAGTTTGTGCTAATGTAGTACCCAATTATCCAACACTGCAATACTGGCAAGTATCTAGAGTACACCACAGCTGCTTCTTTCTTGCAAAGGGATTGATTGCTTTAACATGTGTACTGTTGTGTTATTTTGCCTGTCTTAATTAACAGTCGAGTATCTGGAAAATATTTGTAAGTCTGCTGTTACTTGTGGGTGTCAGAGGACGTCAGTCACTGAGCCCTGAGTTTTAGAATTCAAGTTTTAATACTGAGATTAGGGCTGCTGCAGTTTTATTCTGCTAGTACTTAGCACCTAACTGCAGACTTTACAAAAGAAGCTCTGTAAACTGACTGAGGGCACACAGCATTAAAAAAATCTTGTTTACAGAGGTGTCTACATTATCTTTTACTAGATCACTATATAAATGAAACTTGCAAATATTAATGATACCTCTTTGCCAAAAGTTATTTTTGTATTTCTGTCTTGATTACTTTAGATTTTGGATGCAGTTCTACAAGTAATGCAGTTCCTGTTGGGAATGTGTCAGACCCCACAAATGCATGATAAAGGTATGATTAAAATTGTTATTGTGTTTGTAACTCCTGTCCTCTGAACTTCTTTTGTGTGTTCTAATTATCAGGATCACTCCTGAAAGTGAGTAGCTTTTTCTTTCAGCTTCCCCTAGCACATATTTATTCTGTTTGTTGCTGAATGGTAAATACAGGCGCAGAAGTGTATTAATTTGT